TATATATATATATATATATATATATATATATATATATATATATATATATATATATATATATAAAAAACACATAAAAACATAGTCACACATAAAAACACAGTTCTAAATCTTGTTTTAATAAAAAAATGCAATGAAACTATATGTGGTCATTCTAATTAAGGCATTAAAAAGTAATTTTTATGTTGAAAAATATACTGTATATGATTCATTGTAATAACTCTGTCATATTCTGCTGCATCTTAAGGCAAATGGTGTATGATCCAGAGGACCCCAGATGTGCTCGACTCACCCTGACAGGCAAAATGGTGGAGGTGGCCCCAGAGGAGCTTGCTTTTGCTAAGGAGGCAATGTTCTCAAGGTCCCAGAGCTATAAGCAGCTGTATTGTGCCAACAGTACATTTGATAAGCGTAGGCTCACTTGTTGCTTTGTTTTAAACAGACATCCCGTCATGGCAAAGTGGCCGGTGGGACACAAGTGGTTCTTCATGAAGATGGATTTGATTCAGGTCTGGCTTCAGGACTGGATTGGGGGGGTATCAATCATCCCACTGGAGGACTACTTCAAAGCTTCGCCCTTCTGAGATCCCACCTCGCCTTACTTCACAGCAAAATGCATATCAGTTCTGCTGTGTGAGCTACAGTTATCACTTGGCACTGTCTGATAGCCAAGCAGGGGACTGCTGAGACTATGATTACAGTGTGAACTTTATGCATTTCTTTTCAGACTTCTGCTGCTGCAATAGGTAAATAATGGCCACATGTTTGCTCTCAATTATTGGATTCAAAAGCTTCATATGTGAATGTATGTATAGTGTTATGTACATGTATTCAAGTATTTCATGGGTTTGGTCTTTCAAACTTCTTTTTAAAATAAAGTAAAATATTCCATTAAGTCATTATTAATCTTGATTTTAACCATGGAGGTTGATAAAAACTATTTTATATTTACATTAACTTTCCAATAAATTGATCAAATTGATATTTTTAATTTGAAACATTCACACCTAAAATTCAGTTTGAAATGGAGGACGAATCCTGCCATAATTAAAAATGCATACAGAAATAAATAAATGCTCCAAAAATAGCATAAAAGCATACAATTAATTGCACCCCAAAAATACAATAAACAAATGTAGGTAAAAATTAAATTATACAGTGAGACATAAATGTATCTCTTTTATTTAGCTTTTTTGTTTTTTTCTCCTTTGTAATAATTGCCTTATTTATCGTCCATTATATTTTTCAACTTTATTTATTTATTACCTATTTCTTTAAACATTTATTTATGTGCATGTTATATTTCCAATACACAGCATTGTTTTCAAAAACAGTTACTAAACCTCATTTGCATAATGAGGCAGAAATGTAAATATGACAGGTAGAGATAAACAGCGTTAAAGAAATAAATAGGGTAAAAAAAAAAATACAAAGGAAGAATAAACCAGATAAAAATATAACATGCACATAAATACTTTCTGAAATTAGTAATAAATAAACAAAGCTGAAGAATATAATGGACAATAAATAAATAAGGGAAGCTAATTAAACCTTCCTACATTTATTTGTTTATTGTATTAATTGTGTGCGTATTTATTTTTGGAGCATTTATTTATTTATGTATTTAATTTTAATTATGGCAGGATTGGTCCACCACAGTTTGAACAGTCGGGGCTTTATTTTGAAACTTCCCACCGGAAGACGTCCTGTAAAACGTCAGTCGTGACAGGTGGTCCCGTTAGTTACCAGAAACACGATACGCCTGGGCTTCTTATAAAGTGTAAAAAATAACAGGATTTCCGTTCGTTTCCGTGTTTATGTTGACAGAAATGGGAGGCGTAGAACGAGCAGCCAAAGACCAACAAAGAGAAATAAAGCAAGTTCCGTTGTGAAACCTTAGTTTGGTGACTGCAGGTTGACCGACGCTGCCTGAACCAGCCAGAGGAGTTTATTAGCCCACTTTATGTTAGCTTGGTAGCTAACTAGCCAAACTGAACACTACGGTGGGCTGGATCTGTCCTAACCGGTAATACTTGGTGGCTTGTTGACATTTCCCAGGAGAGGCAGCAACACGTAGCTCTCTATTGTTAAACCCTCCTTTCTCTGTCGGCGGTTGCAGCGGAATCAACGTGATTTGAGGCGTAGCCTCGCGCTCAGCGTCAGAGAGCCAGCAGCCTATCCCGGAGGATCCGCCGTCAAACACTTGAAATGCTTTCTACTTGGAACTTGTAGCCAGGGCGCCTGTAAATACCAACCGAGGCGATCATGTAAGCTGTCTTCTCGTGATATATCGGATTGGAAAGGTATAAGAAGAGCACATTTCAGCTCATCAAAGAAAAAAACGACCCGTGAAAAACGCATAGAGCCCAAGGTTAGATCCGAGAGCTGGTCTTTCTCTCTCAGCTGAGAAGCGGAGCGTTTCATGGTTTGAAACGTCTGTGCGTCTAAATCCTTCTCAACATCCTGAGGGCAACAAGAGACGGACGGAAGGAGAGGAAGCGGAGGGAGGCAGGCAGCAGGAGCCCCGACAATCAGCCGAGGAGAGGCATCGCTGAAATGAGATGAGGCTCAGAAATGGAACTGTGGCCACTGCGTTAATATTCTTCACATCCTTCCTCAGCCTGTCCTGGTACACAGCATGGCAGAACGGCAAAGGTAGGTTCCATACAGCTTACATCATGGGACGATTCAAAATAAAAAAATAAAATCATACTTGGAGGGCCCCTCCAATAGGACTTCCTGACTGAGCCCAGCAGATACCAAGTTTAGGTTCAATGTGTCTCAGAACAGTAGATAATCATAAGGTTCTAAAGCATTAGGTATTTACTTCCGCTTATTTGGTTTTATTAGCATCTTTTCCCCACATAGGAAAGCACTGATCAGTTTTTTCCTGGCCAGGTTTATGAATATCCATAAGGCTCAACTTAAAAGTAAAACATGTGCCGTAGTTGTCTTTCACTGAATGAAGTAGGTTTCATAGGTACGGAAGAGGATTAGGGCCACTGAAAAAATAAAAAAAGTGAACTGATTTTTAAATGTTATTTCAAAAGTAAGAATTCTGATTTAATCTCAAAATTCTGGATTTAATCTCAAAATTCTGACTTTAATCCATACATTCTGACTTTAATCCCAGAATTCTCTCTTATTTCTGACAATTCTGTGATCTCAGAATTCTGATTTTTTTCCCCTCACAATTCTGACTTTTTTTCTCACAATTCTGACTTTTTTCTAACAATTCTGACCTTGATCTCAGAATTCTGCCTTCAATCTCAGAATTCTGCCTTTAATCTCACAATTCTGACTTTAATCTTACAATTATGAATTGTTTTTCCTCACAATTCTGACTGTGATCTCAGAATTCTGATTTTCTTTCTCATAATTCTGACTTTTTTTCTTAAAATACTGACTTTTTTTCTCACAATTCTGACTTTGATCTCAGAATTCTGCCTTTAATCTCACAATTCTGACTTGTTTTTCCTCACAATTCTGACTGCGATCTCATAATTCTGATTTTTTTTTCTCACAATTCTTTTTTTCCTCACAATTCTGACTTGTTTTTCTCACAATTCTGACTGTGATCTCAGAATTCTGATTTTTTTTCTCACAATTCTTTTTTTCTCACAATTTTGACTTGTTTTTCTCACAATTTTGACTTGTTTTTCTCACAATTCTGACTTGTTTTTCTCACAATTCTGACTTGTTTTTCTCACAATTCTGACTTGTTTTTCTCACAATTTTGACTTTAATCTCAGAATTCTGTTTTCTGACAGCTAACAAGCATATTAGCATCAAGCCGTAGCCGTGTATGTTTTAGAGACTAGCTGTCTTGTTTTAGTCACCTTCTGCTCTTCCATTAATGAAATGGCATCACCGGGTACCCCTCAGGGACGTAAAAAGTTGCTTAATTGCGTCATTTTCCAAACTACTCACATGTTTGTCAGTGAAGCTGAGTGCTCCCACATCTCTTCTTTCATGGTCCCCATCTACATTAAGATCCACAATTCTGACCTTAGAAAAATGAATAAGAATAACATACTAGTGAAGAGTTAATAGATACTCAATTAAATACTGTACTGTTAATTGTTTTAACAATAAAAACAACCGTGGACCTGGAAAATAAATAACCAGTAATGGATATCTGAAAATAGCAGCAACATCAGAGATGTGTAAAATGACAGCTGCATGTTATTTATGTATGCAAACATGCCATAAAGTGATGGACTGATCAAGTAATCCTTTATTATACATGAAAGCATTTGTACTAAACCTTAACCTGATATTCGTCGCATATAAGCTTCAGTTTTCGTCCAACCTATTAGTTCTGGTTCTCAAGTCTAACTCTTTTGCCTTTAGGGTCTCCTTAGATCAAAACTATGAGGGTGTAGATGCCACCAAGGCCACTTTAACAGTGATCAAGGTACTGTGAGGCACAACCTGTGATGTTATACAGCAGTCAGTTGATTCTCTTCCCTTTTATATTGTGTTCATATATGGTTATATTTTAGATGTAGTTTTTATGTTTGCTGGTACTATTCACACCTTTTGTTTTTATAAATATGTTATAGTTGAACACCCATTTCTCTATGTTTCATCCGTGGGTGTTCATTTCCTCCCTTGTGGGATAAAGTCTATCTTTAACAGAGGAAGGGAGACACAAGTGGCATCGGCTGCCAATAGACTCATTAAATTTGTTTTCAAGTTCTGTTTTTTTCTCAATTTAAAGATGATAGAATCTTCTTTTAATTTTTTGTTCTGTGACCCTTTTGTTATTTATAGTATCTTGAAACCCCACAATTGTTTATCAAAGTGGGCTCCTGATCCCAGCTTTGGGCACCTCCAATTTAAAGATTGTGTATTTAATATTTGGTTATCAAGATAAGAGTTTTACAACTCAACGTTTAATTGAAATTTGGAAAAGAGTTTATGTGAATGGTTGTAGAAGCCCTCAAAAAGCATAAAAAATGCAATTTCCTCCACTGATGAAACCAAAGCAAATTTCCGCATATTACTGTTTGATGATGAACATGCTAAGATCAAATACTCAACTTGATTTCTGTTTTGAATTTGACTAGTCTTTGTAATACGGAAGGGTTATAATAAATACATTAAGGTTTATTATTTATTTCTTATCTCAGTGTTTCTTTCCTGTCTGCTATTATTATCAGCTCATCTGGGTCTGTGTATTCCGACTACCGTGTCAAAGATGTATTTGGGTTTGACAGTTTCAAGAGGAGGCCTGGTTTACGCCCCGGCTGACACCAAGCTGGCCTGGGATCAGCTGAATGTTGTAAGATGGCAGGTGCTGTTGTTTCTCTAGATTCATTAGGTCTGTATGCAATAGCTCAGAATTTACAGGGAACATCTCACCTCATGCAAAGGTGCTCTCTACTCATCTCTACTCGCAGTCTACTGGTTTTCAGTTTTGTTGATCATTTACATGTGAGCATGTAAATAACTGTTATTTCCTGCCAAAATGTGGGTATGGAAGAAAAAAAAACATATTTCCATCACATTTTCTAAAGTCTTTTTGCCCCCTTCTGTGTCCTGCTTTGGTGCGATTCGAGCCCTTTGTGTATTGTTATATGAATGCCGTGATGTGGTGTGAGCTATTGCAAAACAAATCAACCTAGCACTATTAATAAAGTCAGCTTGAATCTGCGACCCTACTGAATCTGAATTTCGGTTGTTCATTGGGGAGGAATTTAACCCCAGCATGTGGAGCTGTTAAGGAACTTAGTGTTTCGTTATCAGCAAAGTGCAAATAATGGTGGCTTTTAGATAAATTACAAGCCCAGGCTTCATGTTGTTGTTTCTCTGAAGCTTATCAGTTTGATGGCATCATTTCTATTAAAGGCAGTCCCAGTGAGCAGTGCCTGAAAGCAGCAGAAAACTCTCTCTTGTTATTTAGGAGTGCATGCACAATAAGCAGGAGATTATCCTGTCTGCTCTTTTTGTAGGTCCTGTTGATAAAATATATTGCGTCAATAGCATTAGGAGTGGGCGCAGTTGTCTTGCAAGGCCTGTTTGTTCCAAGAATCTAATGCTGACTAATTTTAGATTTAATTTGAAACGAGGATGACTAACCTTAACAGACTGGAAGAGTGGCTCCTGATGTAGCTGCTCTTTTACTTTATATGTTGCTGCTTGCACACAAAGAATACCTGTACTTACAGAACTTGTTGCTCACAGATTGTATAAGTTGAAGGACCTCCGGTAACGATTTAACATACCTTAAAGATGGAAGGCAGTAAATTGGACGAAAAAAGCCTTCCAGAGAAGTACTGCTTCTGCTTTCAAAAAGTACAGTGTGCCTGAGTTGCTGTGGCTGAGATGTGGTTCACTTGATCTAGCGCAGTGATGGCAGCTGGTGGTGTCACACTTTTCAACTGATCTGCAGATTATCATCAACTTTATTTATTAAGCACTTTAATTCTAGCTAAAGCGGAATCAAAGTGCTGTAAGTCAAAATAAAACAATGAAAAACAAGAAAACATTACAATGAGGTATTAAAACTAACAAAAGTAGAATAAAAAAAACAATAAAATAAGACAAGGCAGTAAAACAGATAAAATCGATAATGATAAATGATAAAAATATGCAAAAAGTACAGAAATATTCCTGCAGTTTATGAAGCAAATAGAGATTTATTTAATTTGATGATATGTTATAGTGTTGCAGTGCCGGATTGTGAGGCGTTAAAGTGCAACACTGAGGCTATGTCAAACATGTGGTCATTTTTTTTTGTCTCAGAATTTTTAATTCTCACCACAGTAAAGAAAGGAAAAATCTTCACATGTATACACACACACACACACCCACATACTTTATAGTATCACTAATGTTCTTTAGATGAGACAGTTGACACAGACTTGACAGCTTCCTTTTTATCTGCTTCTTCTTGATGTAAAGATTTTCAATTAAGGTTGATTTTAATAGTTAAAACTGGGAGTATTTCTTTACTTGTTAACAGTCCCACAAGGATATTACAAAGGTTGTTAAAAATATCAGTACTTTGATTTACTTTTTACTTTTAGCTCGAAGTATTGATCCTCAACCCGTGTATCTGGATACAATACTAATTTAGCATGGTATTGATACCAAAGACAAGCGCTGTTAGCATATTTCTGCTTATAAATTTTAGATTTCTAGATTATTAATACATTATAGATGAATATCTGAGATATGTATTGATTTTGTATTAATTCTATTAGTTAACTGTTATTCTGGTGAGAAAGTGTGTTTCATGTTTAGATTGAAAGAGGTGGGGTTTATTTTTTTGTAATGAAAAAATAATTTTTTATGCCTTTAATTATTAGTAATTTTTTATCCCCATGGATTCAAAAATCGAGATTGAAATGTAAAGTTTGTGACCATCCTAGATATTAGACCATGCTACTAAATGTGAGTAAACCATAAATGATAGTAGGGCTGAAACAATGAATCGGATCAATGGTGATTAATCGATTATTGAAATAATTGTCTGCTAATTTAGTAATCGATAAATGGTTAAATGGAGTATATAGACTCTGAAACATGCCTTTTGCTGACAGAGCGGCCACTTAGAACAGCAATTATACCAACATTGTAAAAAAAAAAAAAATATATATATATATAAACATTTAGCATTTAAGATTAAAAAAGAAAACGTTCTCACC